TTGTTGGCCATCTGCTATTGTTTCTCATTGGCTAGCTCCGACTTAATTATTGACCCATAATCACCAGTATACATTTTTATAAGGACTTATCTTTTAGAGAACACAGACTTAGGTCCCCTCCCACGGCGTCGGCTTCCTTCACTACATTTCCCAGAATCCTCCTAGACTCCTAGTCCCGCCTATCCTGCCTCCCTATTGGGCAACAGTGCTTTATTTACATATACTCAGGACTTCCCATCAGTACCCTTCAGCTTGTCAATATCAGGTCCTCCTTCTCCCCACAACTGCCTCACTATCCCGTGGCGGGCCAAATTGAGGTCCCCTGACCTGTGGTGGTTCCCTGATCTCAAGACTCCAGGGTAGCTCAGTTTCAAATAAATCATTTCTTAAAAAGGCACTTGGCCACTGCCCTCTGGGTCATAGAATGTGACAAAAAGGGGTTTCTAGTCTGACTGCCAGAGGAATCCAAAGCTACAATTGGATTGGGGACCTGTGAGGGCCATGGGCTTTTCTGACTGGAGGCCTGTGAGGACCATGGGTTTTCTGACTGGAGGCCTGTGAGAGCCATGGGTTTGCCTGGCTGGAGGCCTGTGAGGGCTGTGGTTTGTCTTGAGGGTGGGACTGCCAGTCTCCCTTTGTCAGGGCCTCCTGGTTTACCTTTTGAAAGCAATTTCTGTTCCCCTGCCCACTCTCGGGCAGCCGTGCAGGTGAAGATCCGACTGATTTGCTGATGCCTTGCGCCCCTTCTCCGGTGCCCCTTTCTGGGTTTCTGAAGCTTTCCCTCTTCCTCTCTTTGGAATAGGGTCTATTTATTCTTCCTCTGGCTCCCCTTCCCTGGCTCACGTGGGAGCAGCTCACACCCTGTCAATCACCCCTCTCACTCTCCCCTCTCCCTCTCCTTCTTCCTCTCCCCCTCCCCCTCCCTCCCTCCCTCTCCCTCTCCCACTTATTTACCAGGCCAAGGTCACCTATAAGGCAGTGAGGAATGAAATCAGGCCAGACCACAGCACAACTGAGGTGACAATTTTTTTTCAGACTTTGTATACCTCTTTCAGAAACAGAATATAATGGCAGTTGCCAGGATCAATACAGTTGCAGTTGCCAGGATACAGTGGAGTTTGCAAGGACACGAAAGATGCATGTCTAAGACCAATTGTCCTGTCAAGTTTCCTTGTTTCTCTGACCCCTGAGGGAACATACAGAGAAGCACAAAGCAGCCTGAACGCTTCACTGCTTGAGGGAGTGTGCTGGTCTCTCGGGAACTGGAAGGCACACTGTGCCCCAGGAGTCATGGACTCCAACCTGAAAAACCTATGAAGCATGCCTCTCAAGGCAGCTAGGAAAGCCCAGCTCCATGGTTTTCCCGCACACACACTCTCGCGACAGGTCTTCACTGTGTACCTCTGGCTGGCCTTGGAGCAAGTTATGTAGCCCAGGCTGGCCTCCAACTCACATCCCCAGGGGCTTGGGCTAATGTCATGTGCCACCACGCATGAAAATAACATTTTAGATGGTATAAGTTGCTACTGAAAGATGTCCAGGCAGCAAGCCAAGCAGTGGCAGTGAGGAGTGGGCAGAGGGCTGAGGAGGTGGTGTGTTGATGGTTTCTCGGGCTGGAAAGGGAGGCTGCATGGTAGAAGCAGAGAACCGAGCATCTCAGGACTGTTTGGTAAACTTGGTATATCATCATGCTGGCTGCACTGGATGCTAATACACAGGGTGTCCCACCCAAGGGGAGGGACCAAGGCCTCCCCCTCTGGTAAAGAGTCAGTCAGTCATACAAAATTGCTGTTTTTTTTTTTTTTTTTTTTTTACGAGACAGGGTTTCTCTGTATTGTTTTGGAGGCTGTCGGTCCAGCCTGGCCTCGAACTCACAGAGATCCACCTGCCTCTGCCTCCCGAGTGCTGGGATTAAAGGCATGTGCCACCACCGCCCGACGATTGCTGGTTGTTAATACCCAGCATGGACTATGCCATTAAGACGAAAGTTTGATATCTGCTGTGGGAAAACTAGTCAAGCACAGAAAGAAACAGCATTGGGACCATCTTGATCATGATGGAGTTTGTTTTCCTTTTAAATCTATTTTTAAAGGAGTAAATTTGTTTTTGTTTTGTTTTGTTTTTTGTTTTTGTTTTTCGAGACAGGGTTTCTCTGTGTAGCTTTGGAGCTGTCCTGGAACTAGCTCTTGTAGACCAGTCTCAAACTCACAGAGATCCGCCTGCCTCTGCCTCCCAGGGTCTGGGATTAAAGGCGTGTGCCGCCGCCGCCGCCGCCGCCACCACCACCACCACCACCTACCTAGGAGTAAAGTTTTTAATAATTTATTTTATTCATCTAAATTTTGGGGGGGGCACAGGGTTTCTCTTTGTATTAGCCCTGGCTGTATCCTTCCTGGAACTCACTTTGTAGACCAGGCTGGCCTCAAACTCACAGAGATCTGCCTGCCTCTGTCTTTCGAGTGCTGGGCCACCACGCCAACTTGATTTATTTTTATTTATGTGCATTTGGTGTTTTTCCTGCATGTATGTCTGTGTGCGGGTATCAGATTGCCTGGAAATGAAGTTATAGACGGTTGTGAGCTTCCATATCAGTGGTGGGAATTGAACCCCCCCTCTGAAAGAGCAGTCAGGGTTCTCAACCACTGAGTCATTTCTCTAGCCTTCCGTCCTTTTTTCCAGATTTATTTATTTTTATTTCCTGTGTATATTTTTTGCCTGTGGGTGTATTTGTGCATGCAGTACCCAAGAAGGCCAGAAGGGGACATCTGTGCCTCTGGAATTGGAGCTCAGACTTGATATCTATCCTGTGGGTGCTGGAAACCAACTGGAGTTCTTTCCAAGAGCAACAAGTGCTCTGAACCACTGAACAATCTCTCCAGCCCCACCATCATGGTTTAAAAAATGTGTTTAGATTGTCTTTATGATCTAGAGTAGATAATGCCTAAAGTGTATAGATATACTTGATGCCCACTAATAGTAATTTTTTTCTAGCAATACTGTGGATTGAATTCAGGGTCCAACACACTCTGTAAGCACCCAACCCCATACTCTGACTTCCATGAATTGTATTTATTTATAACCAGTTCTGCAGTAGCAATTTGTTCAATTTTAATATAATTTTCATTATAATGATGGTCTGGGCCCTTCCCCATCAATTACTAATTAGGAAAATGCTCTACAGGCTTACCTACAGCCAGATTTATGGAGACATTCTCTCTCTGTTTCTCTCTCTCTGGATTTTTGAGACAGGGTTTCTCTATGTAACATTTCTGGCTGCCCTGGAACTTACTTTGTAGACCAGGCTGGTCTCAAACTCACTGTGATCTTCCTGTCTCTGCCTCTGCCTCCCGAGTGCTGGGATTAAAGGCGGGCACCACCAACACCAGGCATGGAGGCATTTTCTCAACTGAGGCTCCCTCATCTCAGATGACTTTAGCCGGTGTCAAGTTGACATAAAACTAACCAGCACAACCACCAAATGTTGACATTTGTATTGATGTGTTGTGCCAAGTCAAAAGGATCCCCAAAGAGACCAGGGAGACAGACCACCAATGCAAACGTACAAGGTTTACTGATGGTTCCGTCCGTCTGAGGAGGGACCCCATCTAGCAAGCTGATGCAGCAGCTTCCAGAGAGGGTCCAGTTCCCTGACTACTGCTAGGTTTTAAAGACAAGTCACAGGATTACACCAGTAGGTACAGGTTGGTTTCTGATTGGTTGACATTTGGGGAACAATCAAGAAAAATTTCAAACCCATGTTTTTGGTGTGTAATACCTGTGTACCCATTTTTCTCATAGGTTGGTGCTGGGAGGGAACATTCTGTGGTTTCTACGGCTTGCAGGTGGTCTATTATACCAATATTTTTCAGAACTGAATTTCCTGAAGACTACAGGGGCGTTTCTTTTACGGTCAAAGAATACCCAGAATCCAAATATCTAGAAGGCTGGAGGGAGAAGGGTTGGAATTCCTTTGTGTTCAGTTTTGGCCCTAGGCCTGTTGCACACAACATAGTCTCCAGGAGCTGGGGGAAGGGCTGATCTGGAGTTTTGGCTCTTTAGATGGAACCAAAGCAACAGTGGGTGAAGTCTGCCATGACAGGATTAAGGTAGCAGTGCCAGAGTACTTGTACCGCCTTATTCCTCGACACCACGTGCTGAGGATTCAGTTACTGTTCTGATGGTCCGCATTAAAGCAAACCTCATTCTGAGACTTCAGTCTTGATCCTTTATAACACATCGTTTTAAAGGTCTGCATCAGGACACAGACGTGTACACAAGGGTTTCCGTTCCGAATCTAGGATGAGTGGAAATGTGATCATTTTAGTTGTGAGCTGAATTGACTCCTTTTTTAAATTCTGTAATGTGGTGTGATTAGTAAGAATGACCCCATGGGCTCATATATATGAGTGCCTAGTCACTGTTTGAAAGAGGTAGAAGGATTAGGAGGTGTGTCCTTGTTGGAGGAGCATGTCACTGGAGGCGAACTTAAAGGTTTCAGCTGCCCATGCCAAGCCCAGTCTGTCTCCGTCTCTGTCTCTCTCCCTCCTGCCTGTACATCAGAATGTAGCTCTCAGATATTTGTGTTATATTGTTTATGATCTAATAAAGCTTGCCTGGGGATCAGAATGCAAAGCTAGCCATAGATGCCAGGCAATGGTGGTGCACACCTTTGCTCCCAGGATTTAGGAAACTGAGGCAGATGGATCTCTGTGAGTCCAAGACCACCCTGGGCTACACAAGAGTAAATCAGTCTAAAAGAGTAACAGAGCTCACGCCTTTAATCCCAGCACTAGAGAGGTCTATAGGGAAGAAGCAAAGGGTCTCACATGTGAGATTCAGTTTCCAGTCACAGGGAAGACAGGATCTCCATTTCATCCTTGGTAGAGGTAAGAGCTACTGGCTAGCTGCTTTGCTTTTCTGATCTTCAACTTGAACCCAATATCTGTCTCTGGGTTTTTATTATTTCAGCAACAGCTACTTCTCCAGTACGATGCCTGCCTGCTGCTATGATCCCTACCATGATGATGATGGACTAATCCTCGGAAACTGTAAGCTAGTCCCTAACTAAATGCTTTCGTTTATGAGTTCTCTTGGCCATGGTGTTTCCTCACGGTAATAGAGCAATGACTAAGACATGTAATGTCCTTGTTACTTGAAAGAATGACAGCCAGTGTGTTAGTCCATCACAATAACAAAATCAGCTTACACAGAGGTATTGGTCCATAGTCAGCTCCATTGTTTTTAGCCCTTGAAAACACAGAGTTACCATGTAGTAGAGCAAAGCTCCTGGCTTCAATATTCAAATAGTAACTTGTAATGTGTAGTCTTTCCTTCCAGCCACCTGGGCCCTGTCAAGCTGTCTGAACCACCAAATAACACACAAGACACTATATTAATTATGAAGCTGTTGGCCATTTGCTTGGTTTCTTATCGGCTAGGTCTGACTTAATTATTAATCAATAATTATTCATATATATTTTACAAGAACTTATCTTTGTTAGGACTCACTCCTGCCACATCCATTCCTCCGGGAAGTCACATGGTGACCAGACTCCTTGTCCCACCTATCTTGCTTCCCTATTGGCCAACAGTGCTTTATTGGCATATACACAGGACCTCCCATCAATAACTTTTGAGCTTTCAAATAAGTTAGAAACATTTTATGTGGTCCTGAGCTTGGCAGCCTCTCAATTACTAAAGATTCCCTGGTGACAGGGAGAATATTAATGAATGTGACCTTGTCAGGTCCTCTGCAAGAGCTGATAACTGCTGAGTCATCTCTGCAGCCTGACATACCACTTTTTAAAGACAATATTCTGAACACTTACTACTGAGAGTTCATTAAGTTTATGATTGTCCTTCTTGTGAACAGTCATCCTGGGTCTTCTCCATTCCGTGTTTTTTAAATAACTATTTTAAATACGGGAGTTTAAAAGTATCTTATGTAAATCACTACGTAGCTCTGCCTGGCCAGGAACTTACTTCGCAGGCTAGGCTGACCTCAAAGTCATAGAGATCTAACTGCCTCTGCCTCCCAAGTGCTGAGTAGGATTTTAAGTTTTGTTTTTTAAATAGAGTCTGGCTTTGTAGCTCAGGGTGTCCTCAAACTGATGACCCTGCCTCAACCTCCTGATTGTTGGTATTAAGGCTCTCACTCATGGGGCTCATGACCTGTGTGATCTAATTGTTTGACCTAGTTGTTGGTAATCTCTTCCAACTGTGTGGTGGAGTGTTGAACTGCTGCTCTGTGCTTTTCCCTTCAAACAATACATAACAAATCCCATGCACGTCCCAGCTGCTCTTGCTGAGGCAGGAGGGATTCGATGCTCCAAGGCAGCCTGAGCTACATAGTGAAACCCTCTTGAAAAACCAGGCGTTGGGGAATGTAGTTCAGTGGAAGGGCACTCACCTGGCACGTGTAAGGTCATGAGTTTGAAACCTAGTTCAGCAAAAAGTACACACAAACAAAAAATACACAAAAAATCGCCACAATTAAAGTTATTGAAGAAAATAGTTTCTTGGGAGTGGGAATTTCTGGATGGCAAAGTATGTACATTGGCTTTATTAGGTCCTAATAGATTGTTCATCATCGGAGAAACTTCCAGGCCCATAAGCAGTGTTCAAGTTTTCATTTGTCTACTTCCTCACTAGCATTAGACAATGCCACACTTGCTTTTACAGTTACTGTAGTAGGTTTCTTCAGCTCTCATACACGAATTGGATTTCAAGCAAATTGTAATACTCTTTGGTCCCTCATCATATCTCTTAACTCATCTCTCTTCTCTGGGAAGTGTTTATTGAGTAATTAACGTCTTTGAGAAATTCTGTAATAAGCTAGAGAAAGCACAGGAAGGTCAGGACTCCTGCCGTAAAGGAAGCTTATGGTTTATAGATAGGTGAGATGTGCTTGCAAACAGTGTGTGCAGGCGCGCGTGTGTGTGTGTGTGTGTGTGTGTGTGTGTGTGTGTGTGTGTGTGTGGTGTGGTTTTTTCCAGACAGGGTTTTTCTGTATAGCCCTAACTGTCCTGAAACTCACTTTGCGTGTGTGTGTGTGTGTGTGTGTGTGTGTTTGTGTGTGTGTGTGTGTGCAGGGTGTGTGTGTGTGCAGGGTGTGTGTGTGTGTGTGTGTGTGTGTGTGTTTCTGAACAGGGTTTTTCTACTCTGTAGACCAGGCTGGCCTCAAATTCATGGATAGCCTCTGCCTCTGCCTCTACCTCTGCCTCTGCCTCTGCCTCTGCCTCTGCCTCTGCCTCTGCCTCTGCCTCTGCCTCTGCCTCTGCCTCTGCCTCTGCCTCTGCCTCTGCCTCTGCCTCTGCCTCTGCCTCTGCCTCTGCCTCTGCCTCTGCCTCCCAAGTGCTAGAACTACAGACTTTTGCCACCACACTCAGTGGAAACAGTTCTCAATATATCCGTTAAAATAAAATTGTAAACAAAGCAGAGTGTGTGGGAAAGCAAAAGGAACAGTGTAGTCCCCACCATTTGACGAGAGGGGGAAGGGAGAGAGGGGGCCAGGGGAGCTTTCACAGAATAAGAAGTTGAGCATGCTTGCCCTCATACAGTTTCCTTTGCCTAGAAAAAAAGAAAGTGTCTGTCTCAAGCGACCCAGTGAATGCACAACCTCCAGTCTGAGCTTCCTTGTCCTGACACGGAGCTGGTGAGGATGCTCTGTGAAGCCCATTTGTCTTGGGGCTCTAGAGCAGCATCATTCTAAGCAGGGCCTGAGAGCTTGGGCCCTGGTATCACAGTGCTGTGATCAGTGTCTACCTCTCCTGGGACCACGGGCAAATTAGCCGATACCTCAATCTCCTCCTCCTTAAAATGGAATCATGGGCATGGGGAGCCTTCAGCAAAAGTTTTTAAGTTAGCTTGTAAGAATCACTCAACACCTGCTCACTGCTCTTATTACACATGCAAATGTTTGCCTCTCTGCTGCTTGTAGACTCCTGGCTGGGATTCCTGCCCTTTCCTTACAGAAGACTCCCAAATTCCAACCTGATGGAAGAGTCTTCACGCCTCCCTGCTGCAGCAGATGTTCTGGAGGCAGGCACACAGGAAAGGAGGTGGCTGTCCCCTGTGAAACAAGTCCTGTGACTGAGCGTGGGCTCAGGCACTCAGCTCTGTGCATGTGACTGTAGGTGTGAGCTGGTCAGAGCCTTCTGGATTTCTGGTGAGGATCCTGAGGAGGTGGTTGGGAAAGAGCCACTGCAGCCTTTGGTGCTAAGAAAGAAGGCGGCTGCACACCTGCTCTTGTCTCGAGATCTGGGGGTGGAGGCCAGTTCCCCCTACACACACACACACACACACACACACACACACACACACACACCCCTAGTGAGTGGAAAGAGAACGTAGAACTATCTATGAGGGGCACCAATGAGAGGTCCCCACTGTGCAACTGCCTCAGTGTGACACATTTGCCAAGCACCCATGCCAGTCCTGATCTTAGAGCAGCGCTCACCCCGAAGCTCAGCCTTCTTCCATTTTGAGAACAGTTTGCGCATGCTCTGAAGTGTGAGAACTGCACCCCAGCTTCTCCTGGCCAGGACACTGGCAGGGACCCCGGGTCCATAGATGTGAAACCAAGGACAGAGGAACAAAGGGCTGTCTGCCAGGGGGACAGCAAATTTCTGGGTACCAAATCTGGGAAGACAGGAAAGCAACAAATTCCCCCTGGCCCAAGTTTGGCAGGCAGTGTGCTGAAAACTCCCTCTGTCTCTTTCTCTCTAGGAACTGGAATAAAGGTGACTCTCTCTTAGTATGTGCAGTACCCCATTGACTCACCTTAGGTGACTGCAGGCTTGGCTGGCTGTTGCCTCCCCTCTGTCATCTTCATCTTCTCGTGGGGCAGCCCTGACTAGCCAGGTCTGAGCACTTTACCCCTTGTTGGCAGACTGCCAGCCCTACCTAACCTTTAAATCCCGAGCCTGCAGAGATCCACACACGGCAGGGCCGAGTGGTGACACCCATACAACTAGCAAGGCACACAGCACACGGTGACCTCTGGACTCCAAGTTCCATCCATCCTCAGTCGCTGCAGACAGACCTGGATCCCAAACCGCACTTGAAGCCTTTAGAACCTCCAGGATTTAGGCCTCCCGGGAGCGGAGATGGCGGCCTACTTGACACAAGAGGTCAGCTTTTCACCAATGACCCCTCCCTCCACACACACACAGCAAAGGATCTTTGGCACCAGGTGGGATTCTGATGAATGGTTTGTAGGGGCCAGACCTGAGAGCGACAGGGCCATCATGAACGTCTTTCTGGATTTGTATGACCTCCAAATGAGGGATGTGGAATTTATTTTGACAGTTGACTTTAAAGAGAAACCCCTTCCAGCCAGGATACCTTTCTGCATACACGTGAATTTTCCTTTATATGTTATTTGAGGTACAAGTATTTTACCTCCACTCTTGCCCCTTCACCTTGAGGATTCATTTATTCATTCATTCATTCATTTGTTAGGTTTTTTTGAGACAGGGTTTCTCTGTGTAACAGTCCTAGCAGTCCTGGAACTCACTCTGTAGACCAGGCTGTCCTTGAACTCACAGAGATCCACCTGCTGCTGCCTCTGGAGTATTGGGATTAAAGCCATGCACCACTGCTGCCCTGTTACACTGTGTGTAGTTTCTGGGAACTGTTCTCTGTTGAATCTAGGGATATACCCTATCTTCATATGATCTGGGCTCCAGGGCTTGGGTCTGTGCCTCTACTGCCTTGGCTGTATTACAGGGGAAATAGACCCTGGGACCCTCGTGCACCTGTTCCTGACTCTCCACTCCCACTCTCTGAAGATCCCCAGCAACTATGGCGCTGCCACCATCATAAAGCCTCACTCCCGGGGTCAGCAGAGTGGAGAAGAGAAAGTGGAGAAGATGCCCCTCCACGCAGAAGACATCCGTCCTGAGATGAGAGAAGATATACACGACCCCAGCTACCAGGATGAGGAGGGGCCCCCGCCCAAGCTGGAGTACGTCTGGAGAAACATCATCCTCATGGTGCTGCTGCACGTGGGGGCCCTGTATGGGATCACACTGGTTCCGTCCTGCAAGCTCTACACCTGCCTCTTGGGTAATCGCCCCAACCCCTCTGTCCCAAGCCAGTACCCCAGCTTTCTCCCTACTCTTGAATGAGGTAAACTCTGACCCAGAAACGTAGCTGCTCTCTGTCCAGATTTTTTAAATCTTCCTTCATTTCCTGGGATACTGATAACTAGAGTGGGAACAGAGCCTCATGGGATTGGGATGCGTGGTGTCGGCTCTGGGAGTCCCTTAGCATGGATGCTAATATGAATGGGGGGAGCACAAATGTATAGCGAGGACTCGGCAGTGTCCGAAAGGACTTTTCTGTTAAACAGTCTCCCATCTCAGCACTACCCACCACAAGAAAGCCAAGGCCCTTGCTGGGAGGCATGAGAGCCTGATGAGGGCCCCATGGGATATTCGCTTAGTCAGGAGACAGAGCAAGGGGAAACTGTTCAGAGGAGACCATTAGAGAAGAAGAATGGAAAGGGTAGCCCACAAAAAGTATCTGTACATGATTCTGGCCAAGCCAGACTTGTTTGACTCGGAGAAAGGTGGGGCAGGCTCCCCAAATAGCCTAAGTGCACAGGTGTGTGGTTCTGTTGGTCCAGGTAGGTCCCATCAGTCAGCGAGACATTCTTAAAACGAAAAAGGAGGCTCAGAAAGTGCCCATTTTCCATTCCCTGGGCAACTAGTTCCTGCCCTATCTCCAGAGACCGTGTAGGACAAAGGGTCAGGAAACTTTTCACATTTGTTCCTGTCTCCTATCCACCCCTCCTTGCCAAGGACAGCCAGGCACAGAGAATAAAGTCTTCAGAAAGCCTGGCTTTCAGGCTGCTGTAGCAAGGAAGACAGTTGCTGTTAACTCAGTCCCTCGGGGATCCATGGGTGGGGGCTGGTGTAGGGCTGTCCCTGGACACACCTGTGCTTTCAGGCGATTCAACCTCTGACCCCTGATTCCTGGATCAGGAAGAGGGGACATGACTCTGAAGGCCAGACCCCTTACTGTCCTCTGAGGAATGGCGAGCCAGGGGTTCCTCTCTGGAAGAGACAGGACTCTTCTGGTAGCTATCTCTGGGAGGGTGGTGAGCAGAAGCTGGCTGCCCCTGCTCTCAGACTCTCAGTTCCCCCAGCAGATGAGCTCTGATCCTCGGAACTTCATCTTAGCTGTAGGTACCAGGGAAACACAAGAGAACCCCTTCCTCAGGAACACAGTTTTCCAGGTACCAAATAGGGACAGTAATGCTTTGTCATGATTAGGAAGGTCACCCTTTAGGTCAGCTGTGTGTCTTTCCAGCCTTTCTCCTCACTCAGCTACTTTGAGAGCCTGTCCTTCAGGATTTTTTTTTTCAAGACAGGGTTTCTCTGTATTGTTTTGGAGGCTGTCCTGGAACTCGCTTTGTAGACCAGGCTGGCCTCAAACTCACAGAGATCCACCTGCCTCTGCGTCCCTAGTGCTGGCATTAAAGGCGTGCGCCACCACCACCGGCTCCTTCAGGGATTTTAACATGAAGAGCTGAAGGGGGAAAACCTCTAGCCCACTTCTCTCTTTTTTTTAAATGTATTTATTTATTTTATGTATACGAGTGGCGTGTCTTCATGCACACCGGAAGCTATTACAGATAGCTGTGAGCCAGCAAGTGGGTGCTGGGAATTGAACTTGAGACCTCTGGAAAAGGAGCCAGTGCTCTTAACCACTGAGCCATTTGTCCAGCCCTTCTAACCTACTTCTTAGAACAATGTTACACCATGTTGTTTAATGACTGCTGTGGCCACAAGCAGCCCTTCCCGGGGGGCCATGGGTCTAATCTATTTGAACTGAGCTGTCTATCTGACAGTCACGGGGTTGAGAAGAACAGGCCACAGAGGTTGGGTTCTTGTCGCAATCCCTTGTGCTCACTGTGTGTGCTTGTGAAGCCAATGTGCCAGCGACACCTGTGACGTGAAACCAACACGGGCACTTTGGGTGCCCACTGAGGGCATCTGCTCTTTCTTTCCTCCTGTGATGGCAGGACTCTGGCTCCTGCGGGGCTCAGGGTCAGATCATATCCGTGGCAAGAGCTCAATCTACACACAGCCAGAAGCAGCAAACCACTGAAGTCTGCTCCCAGCTCAGAGGGACAGACTTTCCCTGGCTGCACACTGGCTCTGTGGTGATCCCACGACGGAATGGTATGTGTCAGGAGAGGGCGGATCTGTTTGGGAAACTGCCATTTCTGGGTCTAGAGGGACACAAGACAGTTCATACAATCTCTTGTGACTTCGACCCGAACTACCCCCCATGGCATACAAGGAGCCACAGTTTCCAGCCGCCCACAGGAGTGAAGCACTGTTGAAAGTCTCCTCCTTATGGGTACAGTCTTAGTCAGGGAACTCAGCAAGGGGAGACTGCTTCCTTCCCTATTAACAGTCGTGCCTTCTGAGCCTTTGACTTCAAAGACAGTGAGGTAGGACAGGACAGCCCTCCTTAGTCCACTATGCAAATGTAACATAGGCACCACCAGCTGCCGGCTTAAGTGTTACCCAACGTTGTATCAGCAGCAAGCATCCAGACTTACAGAGGAGAAAGGTTTGGGACCTTGGGGGACAGGTGGCGGAGCTGGAACCCCGCCTTATGAACAGACAACAGCTTCAGCCGAGGCCTACAGTTTTTGCTATCGTGAGACTCCAGGTGAAAACACTTAACCTTTGCTATGATCTACATCATCAAGATGCAGAGAAGTGATGGCACCTACCACCAAGGGTGTGCGCAATTGTGAAAACGTTAACATTCTTGGTAAGGCTCTGGCCACTGTGAAAACCTAACTGTGGGACTGACTTGCCCTGAGATGGCCATGTTACCTGCCATCACATTGAAATGCTGTTGTCCAAGCTAGTAAGTTGGCACAGACCTGTGATTCCTCAGTATCTCTTAAAATTTGGGGTTGTTGTAATTGATCAAACCAAATTTCTGTAGTTGCTGTTTTTCAAGGCCCTGGGGGATAAGCTGTGACCCTGAACAACTTAGAGGAAGGTCAGAGTTGATAAGCTCAGGGGCACTGCCCCCACCGACGGACAGTGAGAGTCCTGTTGCCTCTCTTGATTCTTTTCTTTATCTCTGGGACTTCTGAGCTTACCGCCATCTCTAGATAGAGAGCCGGAGGCGTAATGGGTGCCCAAGTGTTCAAGGCCACAAGATAACAAGGTCCGGGTGCAGGGGGAAAGGATCTTGCTAACTTCTGATGAAACAGCAGACTAGAAAGTCAGTGAAGGGTCCTTCCACCCTTGGCCCGAAATGGGATGCGAAATGGTTGGTGACTTCTCTGCTGTCTCCCGATAGGAATAGTCTACAATGTAGTTGCCGCTTTGGGCATCACGGCCGGGGCTCACCGCCTGTGGAGCCACCGAACCTACAAAGCTCGGCTGCCGCTGCGGCTCTTCCTCATCATGGCCAACACCATGGCTTTCCAGGTGAGAAGCTGCCCACTGAGGCTCCGTGTCTACCCTATGAAGGCTGCGAGGGACTGCGCAGGCCCGCTAGAGGAGCCAACACGGCAGCCATTGCCCTCCTCATTTTCCTGTAGTCACGAGTGCATGCTCAGTGCCGAGGTCCCTCGCAGCGTGGGGCGCTCAGTGCCGAGGTCCCTCGCAGCGTGGGGCGTCTCAGAATCGGCAGGATCGGAAATGGCTCCATTTATAGGGCCTCTGTTTTCCCTGAGTTCCCCAGGTAACATGTATGGGCTGCTCTGCTGTGGTTGCTCAGCTTAACGTATGAGCCATGACTCACTAGCCAATCACTGACCCTGGTTTCTTTGTTTGTTTGGTTTGGCTTTTTTTGAGACAAGATTTCTCTGTGTAGCTCTGGCTATCCTGGAACTTGCTATGTAGACCAGGCTGTTCTTGAACCTGGAGAGCCAGTTGCCTCTGCCTCCAAAGTGCTGGGATTAAAGGCATGCGTCACCACCGCCTGACTTGACTCTGGTTTCTTTAACACTCAGTGAACAATAAACTCATGGTGTAAGGTGTCTATCTCAGGAGTCCCAATGGGATCAAAAGTAATATGCCACAGACTTGGGGACTCTGCTGCAGATAATAAGAACACTTCAATGGCAAGCAGAATGCCAGCATTTGTGACATAGATGAACTTATTAAATCCTCAAAATGCCTTCGGAGATTGGGCCCTATTTTGCACTTGGTCACTAAGAAGCTGGACAGGTGAACACCGTGGTCCTATGAATGACTGTCACGCTGGGTAAGCCAACTGTTTGCTGAGGCAAAGTTATAACAAAACAAGTGGAAAGGTATTAGACTTCAGCAGGCACTTGGTTCCCCCAGGAGGGCTTCTCGTCTTAATACTGGGGTTCTCTTTCCTGTCCTTCCAGAATGACGTGTATGAATGGGCCCGAGATCACCGTATCCACCACAAGTTCACAGAAACGCACGCTGACCCTCATGATTCCCGCCGTGGCTTTTTCTTCTCTCACGTGGGCTGGCTGCTTGTACGCAAACACCCGGCTGTCAAAGAGAAGGGCGGAAAACTGGACATGTCTGACCTAAAAGCCGAGAAGCTGGTCATGTTCCAGAGGCGGTGAGTGAAGGGAGCATAGAGCCCTTTTAGGAACCTTGTTTTTTCTAATAGAACACATTAAATAAGAGCTGAAGGATTTTACTCCATTTGCATACTCACAATTGTTCTAAAACAAAACTCACTAATGTCTCATAGGCCCACAAGCATGGAGTATTGCTTTTTCCTTTCTCTCTGAGATATTTCCATGAAACAAATTGAATGCAACAAATGCTCATTGACTCAGAATAGTCATGGACACAAAAGTAGAAGTAACAGAGTCCTTTTCTTCAAAAAGCCTGTAGCCTAGGCAGGTATATACCGAAAATAACCAGAAGCAAGACAGAACACTGTCTGTACTGTGAAAGATTCATGGAGGCCAAGACCGTTTAGCGGGAACACAAGGGAAGATTTGTCGTAAAAAGCAGCCTCAAAAACAAGTGATTCTGACATTTGCCTATGGGCAGAGACATCACAAACAGTGCACAAGACCAGCTAACTAAAGCCTCACACTAGAAACAGCCCTTCTCCGTGAAGAGCTCTCTTGGCATCATGTGGCAGAGATATGCTTCAGAGAGGCATCCCCAATACAGGTGAAAGTAGCCCTTGATTGACAGGTGACAGTCAGGGAAACAAGTTAGATGTGGAGGACCCAGGCCAGTGAAGCAGAGGTAAGAATGGAAAGGGAGGCAGCCGGCTGCAGACGATGAACAAGGTGAATATGAGACTGCTTAACAGGTATGGGTCAATTCCTTGGTCTGTCAGTGTCTGGAGTGCCGAAGTAGAGCCTCAGAGCTGCAGGTGGTTGGGGGGCCCGCGGTGGGCCTCCTGGAAAATAGAGGAAGATCTGGGGATGATAGCAGGAGATGCATGCTTGTCACACGTTCTGTGTCAGAGATGGAGGAGGACACAGAAGGCACCCCAAAGGCAGTGGAGCTCAGCAGATGAGCTGTGGCTTCATCGTGACCTGTTTGGCCAACATGGCCTTACACTTTGTGAAAATAAACAATGGATTTCTAGTCAACAGACCCACAACCTTACCCATGTTCCACCAGTATTCCTCATATAAAGATGAGGCTGGAGGGACGATTGGACAGAGGGATGACACCCACAGGCCCACCTGGCACCTCGAGGGGCAAGCTGACTAAAGACTACAAGCCCGAGTAATGAGTCTTTTCTGTCCTGCCAACCAACCCCCAAATAATGACACTGAGACTTCATGTTAACTATGAAAGCTCTCGTTCCTAACTAGCTCTTATAACTTATATTAATCTACGTTCTACCATGTGGCATCACCTCTCTTCCATCTCATACCTCCTGTTTCCTCTCCGTGTCTCCTGGCGTCTCCTGTGCTCCTAGATTCCTCCCTCCTCGTCTTCTTTCTCTCCCTGGAATCCCACCTACACCTCCTGCCTAGTTATTGTTGGCTATTCAACTTTTATTCCACCAATCAGAAGGTGCCTTAGGCAGAGACACATCTTTACAGTGTAAACTAACATTCCACAATGGGCCCACGTGGCCCTGCTTGGCCTGGGTGGGTGGATGCCTCAATGGCTTGGGTCCTTCCAGAGGACCCAAGTTCCATTTCCAGCACACACACACTGGCTCACAACGTGTAAATCCAGTTCCAGGAGATCCAATGCCTTCTTCTGCCCTCTTGGAGTACTTCTACATCTGTGCTACACATACAAGCATGTAGGCAAAGCACTCATATACAGCGTGTGTGTGTGTGTGTGTGTGTGTGTGCACGTGCGTGAGTTGTGTGTGTGTGCGTGTGCGTTTTGTGTGTGTGTGTGCGTGTGTGTGTGTGTGTGTAAGAGTGGGATAACATATACCCCTCCTGTGGTCATAGTGTAGAACAGACAGTCCAGCCCAGTGAATGTGTGCTTTCGGCCCCTCTCCACGGCTTCAGTGTGCAATCTCTCCACACAGGTACTACAAGCCAGCTGCCGTGCTCATCTGCATCGTCCTGCCCACACTGGCGCCCTGGTACTTCTGGGGTGAAACGTTTCAACACAGCGTGTGCATTGCTACTTTCCTGCGGTATGCTATAGTTCTCAATGCCACCTGGCTGGTGAACAGCGCCGCCCACCTCTATGGATATCGGCCATATGACAGGAATATTGGCGCCCGAGAGAACGTCCTGGTTTCAGTGGCGTCTTTTGGTAAGTCATCAGTTTACAGCCAGACTATGAGAGGTGGGTTAGGATTAGAGCTTTAAGGCCATGTCAGAGAGACCAGATTATAACCTACTTTTATGATTACTCTGGATCTTAGGTTTCCACTCCAAAATGAGGGCTAATCCATTGATTTTAATTTCCCAAACCATCATCAATTATGACTGAGTCCTTTTTGTTTGTTTGTTTGTTTTCAAGGCAGGGTTTTTCTGTGTATCTTTGGTTGTCCTGGAACTCACTCTTTAGACCAGTCTGGCCTCGAACTCACAGAGATCCGCCTGCCTCTGCCTCCCGAGTGCTAGGGTTAAAGGCGTGCACCACCACTGCCCAGCTCATGACCGAATCCTTTTAACTCCTCCTTTTCCAGTCGTTTCTGAGTTAGGCTGCATCTTACTGGGGGACGGGAGATGCATAAATAGCAGAACGGTAGCACCAACGAAGGGGCCGGCAAAGCTTTCTATATGCAGCCTGCTGCATGTGTAGGAAAAAAATAACAGAAACCTAGTTCAGTAGACCCCAACTGTGCCACACTGCTGTCATTTCCTGACTCTTCCTCTAGCCTTCAGGAACGTTCCACCATCGTATGAGTCTCATTTGACCTGTGTTTGAAAACAAAAACACCTGTAGAATTCTGGGATTTTCATAGAAATGGCATACCGTAGGCTGATATGTGTCCTGTACTGGTAAGGGGTCTATACAGCGAGTTTCCCCAACTCCACAGTCCCGGTGAGCTCACAGTGGCTGCCAGTCTCCTGCTTCATCTCTGTTGCTATTCTTCCCTCTATATCTGCTCTTCTATCCCTCTCACCTCAGCCTTGACTGCCCTAATCTTCTTGTTTTATTTAGTCACCTGTCTCCTGGCCATGTTCTTTAACAAAGACGACCATTCTCCATAGCTTTCCTGGGCTATCTCTTCCTGTCCCAGTTGTTAGCCGTATAGCCTAATCTCCAAGACCCCCCCCCTCGTGTGTGTGTGTGTGTGTGTGTGTGTGTGTGTGTGAGAGAGAGAGAGAGAGAGAGAGAGAGAGAGAGAGAGAGAGAGAGAGAGAGAGAGAGAGAGAGAGAGAGAGAGATGAGAGATTCCATTTTGAATGGTTAGGTCCCATTCAGAGACTCCATCTTAAAGCACGTGCCAGTACCCTGGCCACACCACACACAGCCCAGTGCACAGGAGAATATCCGTGAGAAGTCTTGGTTGGAGCCATTTGGTTGGAAGGAATTCCTTCACAGTTTTTGTTTGTTTTCTTTCTTTCTTTTTTCTTTTTTCTTTTTTTGGTTTTTACGGAGACATGGTTTCTCTGTATTGTTTTGGAGGCTGTCGGTCTAGCCCTGCCTCGAACTCACAGAGATCCGCCTGCCTCTGTCTCCAGAGTGCTGGGATTAAAGGCGTGCGCCACCACTGCCTGGCTCAGTTTTTGTTTTCTAAATAACTCCCATTATTTTTGGGAGTATTTTGGTCTTATTTTTTAGTCAGGGTTTCACATGATAGTTCTAGTTGGCCTGGAACTCACTATGTAGACACTGCTGACCTCAAACTTACAGAGATCTGCCTAACTCTGCCTTCTGACTGCTGGGATTAAAAAATGTGCTACCATGCTCTGCTTTGAGGGATTTTTTTAAAAGAGTCATTCATTTTTATGTGCTTGAGTATTTTGCCTGTGTGTATGTGACATACACCCTGTGTTTTGCCTGTGTGTATGTGGTGTACACCCTGTGTTTTGCCTGTGTGTATGTGGCGTACATCATGTGCATGTGGGGCCTATAGAAGCTAGAAGAGGGTGTTAGGTCCACTGGAACTGGAGTTACAGATGGTTTTCAGCTACCATGTGAGTGCCAAGAACGATATCCTCTGCAAAACAGCAAGTGCTCTTAACTCCTGAGCATCTCTCCAGACCCTGGACTATTTTTCCTAACTTAAAAATGTTTTAATTAGTATATATTAGTTACATATAAAGATGGGTGACATTTCACGTGTGTACATGATTTCATTCTTACCCCTTTATTCTTTCTTGCCCCCTCCCATTCCTGCTAATCCCTTTCCTCTTCCTAAGGAGGGTTCCTACTCATACCTTTCTGTGTGTCTGCGGCCTGATGATTTGATTGGGTGGCTCACAGGAGCACACCCTGAGCATTTGTTTTCAGAAGCATGGTGCTGGTAAGTGTTTCCACCACCACACATCCTCAACCTTAGGCTGCGTGTAAATCCTTAGGGAAGGGTGGGGTCCCATGAGCCTTTCCATTTGCAATGGTGGAATGTTGACCAGCTCAGTCTTGTACAGATCTTGTGCAGTTAAATTACAGGTGCTGTGAGTTCAGGCTTGCTGCAGCCATACCCCGAAGACAGCACTCCACAATGTGTCCTCCCTCCCCCACCACTTTCTCTGGCTCTTAGCATCCTCTCCACTCTTCTGACTTCCTCGAGGGGTGATTTGATCTTCAGGAGTTCAGTGCCTTTTCTTGGTCACTTTTCCCCCTAACCTGAAAAGGGCCAGTATTGTTGGAATCAGTTCAGAAACAAGAGCCGTGCGGAGAACAGGAGAATCCACACGGATTGGAGAGATAATCTTGAATTCAGAATTTCTGTTCTCCCTTACCCTGCAAGGTACCCATCCTAGGAGTTTCAAGTCCTCAGTGTTAGCGAGAGAATGTCTGAGCGCTTTCAGAGTTCTCTTAATGTCTCCTGTCCCAAGGTCAAAGCTCAGAGGATTAGCAACCAGTGCAGTCTCCAGTGAGCTTGGAGTGGCTGAGGAAATGCCTGGCATTGGCCAGAACTCCTTCCTGATAAATTTTGGTAACTGCTGTCCACCTTGTTGGAACCTCCACCCTTACAGAAAACAATAATTCTTGGGGAACAGTATGGCTTACTCCATCTAAGAAGCACAGCTACAGTTGTCCCCTCTCCTCTGCCCTGCCCTGGACACAGGCACCTAGGCACAGACCCTGTGGAGCTTGGGCTCTCTTTCCTAAAGCACTGATGGTACTTCCACCATGAAATCTGTCCCCACAGGCCCAGCTTCTCTCCCATCTTACGATAGAAACTTCTTCTGACAAAGGCTCCCGGACAGGCTTGTGTGAGCAGAGTCTGTCAGCTGGTTTCCTGAGACACCTCCGAGGGCATCTATTTGCTTTAGAATATAGGACTGTGAGGCTGGGCGTTGGTGGCACAAGCCTTTAATCCCAGCACTCGGGAGGCAGAGGCAGGCGCATCTTTATGAGTTCGAGACCAGCCTGGTCTACAAGAGCTAGTTCCAGGACAGCCTCCAAAGCCACAGAGAAACCCTGTCTCGAAAAAAACCAAAAAAAAAAAAAAAAAAAAAAAAAAAAGAATATAGGACTGTGGGTTCATCTATTCTCAACAGTGGGGTTCTTGAAGGTTTGAGGTACACGGTGGGTAAGAAATGTACAAAGAGCAGAAAGCAGCCCCCCTAACTGCTCTCCTTGCTTCTGTTCCAGGCGAGGGCTTCCACAACTACCACCACGCCTTCCCCTATGACTACTCTGTCAGCGAGTACCGCTGGCACATCAACTTCACCACATTCTTCATCGACTGCATGGCTGCCCTGGGCCTGGCGTATGACCGGAAGAGAGTGTCTAAGGCCGCTGTCTTGGCCAGGATTAAAAGAACTGGAGATGGGAGCCATAAGAGTAGCTGAGTCTGGGGTCATCTGAGTCTCTGTTCCATAAACCAGCTGGGCCAACATTTAACATTCTGTTAACTACTTAATAATGCTACTAAATCTCACTCCTGACAATTTTGTGGGGGGGGAGGATTAGGGTCTCTCTCTGATCTATTGAGCTCTATAGACCAGGCTGACCTCGAACCCACAGAGATCCTCCTACCTCTGCCCTCCAATTTCTAGGATTAAAGGTGTGTGCCACCATGCCCAGCTCTGCAAAGTGTTCTTGTCAGCTGTTTAAGGCAACTCTACATTATGATACTATGGTAAAGCAGCAACTCATAGAAGATTTTAAAGAGTCCGTAGCTGCTCATCCAGCTGGCTTCATCTTTTGTTCAGCCTTCCTTGAGGTTTTATTATTATTATTTATTTTCTCTTCTCAAAGTAATCAGATAACTATAGCAATTCTAAACATCCAAAACAGGAAGGATTGTAGGCAAAGCTGGGTCAAACAAAAATATATAGGTACACATGATCACTATATAGAACATGGAGATGTAGGTACACAATCTTTGTAAAGAACATGGAAATGTAGACACAAGTGATCATAGTACAGAACATGGAGTGGTAGACACACATGATCATTGTGTAGAACATGGAAATATAGACACACATGATCATTGTATAGAATATGGAGATGTAGACACACGTGATCATTACAAAGAACATGAAGATGTTTCACTGAAATGCCCCCCTCTGAGAATGTTACAGAGGCTTATAGAGCAGAGGGTTATATAGGTTGCCTGTTCCTTCCATCACTGACAAGAGATGGAAACTTTGATGGGAGTCTTTGCAAAGGGAAGCTCTGAGAACATGATGCTAGGGACTCAGAAGTTGCTAGCAGGTCTATTCACTAGTCTAAATTCCTTGTTGGATTTGAGTAGTACTTAGGCTCTTCTCCGTTTCTGTGGCTACACATTGTTACTCTCTGACCATCCAGCCTACACCTAGGACTGGTTGGGAGACGATAACCAACCTCTTAATCTAATTCTTGGTTCTTGATTCCCCCATCTTTTCCTTTTCTCCTATTTATCTCTCTGTTTCTTGACCTTTCTCCTTTTCCTCAACAGAAATCTCTTGTGTACATTCAGGGTGGTCCTTCTCCTCTAGACAAGATGCTCGTGGGCATAGACCTTCTGTGTCTCTAGCCAGGAAAGTTGTTGGACACTTTGGTGTGGCTTTTACATCTATTCTCCCTCTCCCTCTGTGTACCTCGGTTCAGAGGGGCTTTCTAGCTCACAAATTCCCAAAATACTCACATTGTGCCAGTGAAACACTGAACAAGAGGGTTTGTTATCAATCTTTTCTGAGTGGACCAGCGCAGAAAGCATGGTCAGTGCCCCCTGCCTTGACAACAATGCAGTCCACATGCACCGGTGTTCCCAGATGATAGTGCAAAGCCTGTGGGATGAGGAGTCACTGGGAGGAGCCTAGTACTCACTGGGAAGGGAAGCACCAGAATGAAAGGCAGAGAGCTGAGTGTCTCACTCTAAGAAAGGTCTGTCCTTGAAGCCAGCCAGCATGTGCTGCAAAGGTTTGATGTGGGCTCTGAAATGCCACTAGCTCTTCAGAACAGAATGTCTTTCATCAAACTAACCAGCATCCCCTACCATACAGCCTGAGGTGGGCAACGGTATGGAAAAGTTCTGAAGAAATCATAACATCAGTATTTTGAAGAGCACATGCCTCTCCTGTCCCTGTTGCTCAGTAGGTGGGTGTAGGTATGGCCTTTGTCCCTCCAAGGCAGCCTTGCCTTTGAGGTCTTGGTCTCATAGAAAAGAATTCACATAGCCAGTTGTTGATGGTGCACGCCTTTAATCCCAGCACTCGGGAGGCAGAGGCAGGCGGGTCTCTGTGAGTTCAAGGCCAGCCTGGTCTACAGAGTGAGTTTCAGGACAGCCTCCAAAGCTACAGAGAAACCCTGTATTGAAAAAGGAAAAAAGAAAAGAACTCACAGAAGATGCTTGTAGGTCAGATCAGTGGATCGTCACACCCTTTGCTAATGTCTGTTTGAAGGTTATAATTCCACAGGTTATCAAATGCCTGCTTATAGCATATGGATGAGACCAGCATGGCATTGCATGTCTCTAATCTCAGTGCTCAGAAGACACAGGCAGGCAGATCTTTATGAGTCTGAGGCCAGCCTGATCTGCATAGAGAATTCCAGGTCAGCCAGGGATACATAGTGACACCTCACCTCAAGTAAATCCCATCCCCCACATACCCCCAAAACAAGAAGAACAAACCCTATGCACAATAAATACCTTTTTCTCTTCTTTCCCTTCAAGTTCTGTTCATTGGTCTGATCCTTGCGCGTTCCTGTACAAATCTGGATGGATATTTCTGGCCCAAGTGTGTATTTCAGAGTCACACAGAAGAGTGGTATCTCAATAAGGAACACTGTTTTTGAGACACCACCACCACCACCACAGACGGGGTTTTCTGTGTAACAGCCCTGGCTGTCCTGGAATTCACTTTTGCCTCCCAAGTGCTGGGATCAAAGGTGTGCACCCACCATGCCCAACCTGTTTTCAAGGTTCTAAAGCTCAGTTCAAGAGACATGTTGATGAGAAACTCAGACGGACTGTGTGAGTCTCTGATAGTTATTTCCTTGTGTGAGCTCTAATGGTACACTCAGATACTGTGCCCTTTCTTGTTCACAATGGCTTTGAGCCTATCTCCATCCCCTCCACAGAGTCCCACTAGACCTGAGATCCTGCTACTCTGTCTGCTGTAAAATTAAAAAAAAAGTAGTCCAGCTAGTGAGTTACAGGGTTTCCTTCTGGTTTCAGTTTGGAAACTTGCTTAGAGTTGTTTTTATTAAGTGACCACATTTGGTAAAAATTATTTGAATATATTCCTTTTTTCTTTTTCTTTTTGGTTTGTTTGGATCAAAAAGATCCTTTCTTCTTTTCCAGTGCTACAGCCCTTCAAATGACCCTGTGCCAGGCAGCCATTGCTATCTTTGCCTGACTCAGAGGCATTTGGCTTATCCTTCTGGCATAATAAATCTCATTTGTGCTGAGAATCTGGTGTCTGGGTGTGTTCTGTGCCCACTGAGGCTCCCTCAAGCATAGAGAACCATCGCTGCCATCCCTGGCTTCAATAACCTCAGTGTCCTCTCTGTAGCAACACCTCAAAGGAGGCCTTGTGAAGTATCTAAAGCAAGCGGGCCAGCCTCCATCCCAGGGCCGGGGCTGACCTTCTACAGGAGCACAGACTTTTGATGTGACTGCCTTAGTCACTGTCCTGGTGCTGTGAAGAAACACGTGAACACAGCAACTCTAATAAAGGAAACATCTAATTGAGCTTACAGTTTCAGAGGTTCGGTCCGATATCTCATGGGGGACGTGTCTGCACCCAGCCAGACCTGGTGCTGGAGAAGCAGGCGAGAGTTGCACGTGTGGATTTGCAGGCAAAAGAAGAAAGAGCTGCTGGGCTTGGCCTGGGCTTTTAAAAACCTCAAAGCCCAGCCCCAGTGATACAGTTCCTCCGACGAGGTTACATGTTCGTTCTAATCCTTCCAAATAGTGCCACTCCCTGGTGACCAAGCATTCAAATCTAGGAGCCTATGGGAGTTGTTCTTGTTCAAGCCATCATGGTGACCTCTGCTTTTATGATAAACTCACTGGTGACTATTACGGTGGACGTTGCACCCAAGCCCTCTCCCCTGTCTCTCTCCAAACCCTGCTGCATCTCAGAAAGCCAGCCAAATGATGACCCCTCCCCCAGAGATGCTCAAGACTGTCCCCCAGAAAACATACTCGTGGTTTTTCTGGTCTCCCTTTCCCATCCAGGAGCATTGTATCCATTCAGCACGGATTTTTCTAATTCAGTTTGATTTGGTCTGATTTGGATTGATGTATCGGTAGAGAGGCTTATAAGTGTGTAGGAACTTCTCAGTGACAATGAATCCATGTCTGCCAAGAACATCAGTCCATTCATGAGAACAAAGCGCATCTGAGCTAACAATCCCCTAAAGGTCTCATCTCTACAATGCTACATCGGGGATTACACTTGCAAAGCATGAACTTTGGTGACATGTTGAAACTGTTCCACTGGACATGTTATTTTACTATACCACACTTCAAGTGTTCCTGTGAAAACATGGGCAATAATTTTCATATACCTCAATGAGCACGTTAGAGGCATGACTAGGATCTCTTTTATAAAGCATTTTGCAATCTTTCAGCAAGGGATTCTCAAGTCCTGAATAGTTTTATAGTATTGGAATCTGCCATGAATTTAACATCCATAAGTCCTGGATGTTACTATTAAGCAATATGGTTCCCTGGCAAGATCAAAGGCATGCACTGTATAAGTGGTGTATAAGTAGCCAGATGGAATTTGAGACTACCCACTGGCACAAAGATGTGTACAGCATGTCCTTTCATTTCTCCATTTCTCCCTCCCTCCACCGCTCTCTCAGGGTTGGGGTTAGGAGTCAGGCCAGACATAGCAGGAAGGGGGAAGTTTCACAAGAGCCTGCAGCCAAGATGCCCTTGGTTCTTGGCAGAGAAGGGAAGAGGATTAGAGGGAAGGAGGGAAGTGGAGAGAGAGAGAGAGAGAGAGAGAGAGAGAGAGAGAGAGAGAGAGAGAGAGAGAGAGAGAGAGAGAGAGAGAGAGAGAGACTTAGTTAAAGTGTGTTCATTGAGCAGGGCCTGGTGGCTCATGCCTTTAATCCCAGCACGCAGGAGACAGAGGCAGAGAGGCAGAGAGGCAGAGAGGCAGAGAGGCAGAGAGGCAGAGAGGCAGAGAGGCAGAGAGGCAGAGAGGCAGAGAGGCAGAGAGGCAGAGAGGCAGAGGCAGAGGCAGGAAGAGGCAGAGCCGTCAGGTGGATCTTTGTGAACTTGAGGTTAGCCTGTCTACATAGTAAACTGCAGGATGGCTAGGGCTAAATAGTGAGATTCTGTATTGAAAAAACAAACAAATGAACAAGACGAAAGAAGTATACTCATTGTGTGGAGTCTATGTGTAGGGAGGTGGTGTGCCGTAGCCCTCTGATACCTCAGAGTCTCCCAGCTGAGGTCTGCAGGCTTCCTTGAGGACATGAAAGTGACTCTCCACTCTGCTGGGATCTGGCTGGCACCCAGGGACTCTGCTTATTTATAGACTCACAGGTAGGCAGGGCAGGGGTGAGGGGTGGAGGTGCAGTTGCCATTTCTTCTACAGCAGCTTTAAGAAAGAGGCTGTAGTGAGTGTCACCCTGTAGCCTCAAATGGAACAAGCCTTCTAGAATCTTCCACATGGGTGAAACTTGTTCTCCCCCTTTCCCACCCCAGAAATGCTGTTCAGGTTTCATCTCCTCTAGTTCAGAAAGTTTATCACAGTCTCACTCTGGCTACTCTTTGTTCCCAGCAAGGAATATCTTGAAAGGGATAGGGTGCTCAAAGCCTTTCCAAGAAGGGCCTCACCTGGGGAAAGATCTAGTCTTAGCTCTCATTTGAGCCCTCTGTGGCCCTGTACTACCATGTGGCAGAGGACAGTGGGTGGAGGACAGATCTGATTAGATAAGGAAAATAGTGACTTACCCTCTAGCAACCTCACTATAAAGTAACTACTTATCTTGTATCATAGCCCGTGGTTATTGTGCTGTAAGCATTTCCCCAAAGTCACAGGTTACAGACAGTGCTCTCACCTCCTTAGGGTATTTCCCACAGATTGTAGCCTTTTATCCAGTCCTGTGTAGACACAGGTGGACATTTCCAGTAAGGGAAGACAGGAGGGGGGAGCTAAGAACTTTACAAGAAGACAGATTATGGTTGGAAAAGCACAGAGCAAATGCCAGGTAGGCTTCCAGAGCTTGAGACGAGAGTCTAAAATCAGGTGTGCTTGAATAGAAGAGAACAAAGTTTGCTTTGTGTAGGACAGCTGTATGAGCTCAACCCCTGCCATGGCCAGCCCAGGAGACAGGCCCTACCAGGCTTTACCTTTGGACGAAACTGTGTATCTCCAAGTGAAACCATATCTAGAAGGCCAGTGATGTGGGTAGCAAAAGAATTTGCCAGGCTGTAAACACAGAATTTATCGAAGCCCAGAGAGAGTGGTGCTCAGTGGAGGGGAATGACTTGGAGGGGTAATGTTCGCAGACTCTTTTCCAAGAAGGCCTCTCTGGAGCAAGGTCACCCCTAGTCAGCACAGGACACATAGTCCCCTGCTTATAGATGGGTTAACCACAAAGCCAGCATCTGTCAAGAGAATTCATTCAGAAGAACCATGAAGTGAAAAGCAAACTCAAGTAGTGAAGAGTTGAGCTCAGAAAGGGCAGCAGTGTGCCCAGGAGGAGTGAGGAACTCTAGAGCAGCTGTTCTCAACCTGTGTGCGTCTCAACCCCCGGGGTGGGGCTGGGGGGAGTGATCCTTTCACAGGGGTCGCCTAAGACCATCAGAAAACACAGATGTTTACATTACTCTTCATAACAGTAGCAAAATCACAGTCATAAAGAAGCAATGAAGTAATGCTGTGGTTGTGGTCACCACAACATGAGGAACTGTTTTAAAGGGTCGCAGCCTTAGGAAGGTTGAGAACCACTGCTCTGGAGAGACACTCATGTCCCGTCTCCTGGTAACTGGACTGTGGAAACAAGGCCCTCCAGGGAACTGGGACTTCCCCCAGAGATCTGCTGGAAGAAGGAAAAAGCCGAAGCCTGTCTCCAGACAGACGGAGAAAAGAGAATTCACACGGTGCGGGAAACTCCGGGAGGCACTGCATGACGGGCCACCGAGGGGCAGGACCGTACTTTAGCCTAGACTTCGTTATGTGTATTTCTTGCCTTCCTTAAACGTTGTCCTCATGTTGGGACTCTGAGAAGCCGGGCATGAGGAGTCACTGGATTTCTTTGTCCTTTCCAATGCAGCCACATTGACTAAATCTTTCTTGTTTCAGATTTGCATTTATTTCTTTATGGGAGAGAGGTGCATGTGTTACAGAATGTGTGTGGTGGCCAGGGGACAACTTACAGGGGTGGGGTCTGAATCTCCCCTGGTGCCAGCATATCTGTGCACTATTCTATTAGGGTTTTTTACTTAGGAGATCCTCTTCTTCCGTGTCTTCGCCATGGAAGTTGCGGTGGCGTGGATAGGTCTGGCCCCCATAGAGTCATGTGTGTGAATGCTTGGCCCATAGGGAGTGGCACTATTAGGAGGTGTGGTCTTGTTGGAGGAAGTGTGTCACTGTGGGGTGGGCTTGGAGGTCTCAAAACCAGTCCTAGTGGCTCACGGTCCACTTCCTGCTGCCTGCAGATCCAGACGTAGGACTCTCGGCTCCTTCTCTGGCGCCATGTCTGCCCACACGCACCGTCTTCCTGCCTGCCAGGACGGCAATAAATTAAACCTCTGTAAGCCAGCCCCAAATAAATGTTTTCCTTTAGAACAGTCGCCGTGCTCATGGTGTCAATTGAACGCAATAGAAATCCTAGTATAAGCCGGGCGTTGGTGGTACACGCCTTTAATCCCAGCACTCAGGAGGCAGAGGCAAGTGGATCTCTGTGAGTTCGAGGCCAGCCTGGTCTACAGAGCGAGTTCCAGGACAGCCTCTAAAGCCACAGAGAAACCCTGTCTTGAAAAACCAAAAAAAAAAAAAAGAAGAAGAAGAAATCCTAGTATAGTAGTGATGAAAGATTTGGAGTGACAGAAATACACGCCACTAGAAATGCCACAGAAAGTGTAAGTGAAACATGACTGACAGCAGTTCGTAATGGATGAGGCCAGGTGATGGGAGCTCATTGTAAATCTCTTCACTTTGCAAAACTGCACTGGGGGCTGGAGAGATGGCTCAGTGGTTAAGAGCACAGGCTGCTCCTCTAGAGGTCCTGAGTTTAATTCCCAGCAACCACATGGTGGCTCACAACCATCTATAATGAGATCTGGTGCCCTCTTCTGGCCTTCAGGGACATATGCAGACAGAACACTGAATATATAATAAATAAATAAATCCGTAAATCTTAAAAAGATACAAATTTAAGCAGGGTATTGGTGGTGCACGCCTTTAATCTCAGCACTCAGAAGGCAGAGGCAGGCGGATCTCTGTAAGTTCAAGACCAGCCTGGTCTACAAGAGCTAGTTCTAGGACAGCCTCCAAAGCCACAGAGAAACCCTGTCTTGAACCCACCTGGCCCCCCCTTAAGATACAATTTTAAGCCAAGTAAAGCAGTCCTGAAAGCAATGACTATGGTGTCTGGGCTACATAGTCTCCTTGAATTAAAAGAATAAATTCTAGATACTTTGGTGTGAACAAGCAACAGGCGTTCTGTTGCCCAGGTTGTTGGTATGGAATGGAGCTCCCAAAGACTGATTGGGTGAATCAGAAGGGTCCGAGCACAAGGAAAGGGCTGAGACTTGGTGCAGAAAGGAAGTTGGAATATTGAAGAAAAGAGAACTGTCTCCTTCTTGGAGATGGATAGAAAGACCGACCTATTGAACCTCTAAGTGCAACAGAAGATACTGACACTGGAAATACAAGCTATCGTATTTGAACTGATGCCGTAATGATGAGCTTAAATGCCCCCTCATAGCCTGAAAGTGCAAACCTGTGAAGTGTGGAGAGAAATGACATGATCAATCCCAGGGGCTTGCAGAAAAGATTGAGAAAAACAAACCATAAAAGTCTGGCTCATAATGAGGCTGCAGGTCCACCCACAGGGGGATGGCATGTCTTTCCTAATGCCTCCGAGTCTAGGTTTATTTCAATTGGGAGCAATGGGACCGTCCGGCCTGACACTTCACTTAAAAAAAATGTTTCAGAAAAAAAGATTTATCATAAGAAAAGTTGTTTGGTCCTGACTCCCTAAGCCATATGGATTCTCCTTGGCCTCTCTAATGGAAATAGGAAAAGAGCCCAGGGTAAAGGGACATATTTCTGTATCACATGTGGGCTTATTGGCTGCTCTCCCTTGTCTGGACAAATCACAGCCATGGCAGTCTCCATCCTTCTGGCCTCACCCTCAGCGGCTGCTGCTGACACAAAACAGATGGCCTCACAGTGCTGGAAATTAAACCTGGGGCCTTGTTCGCAATAGGCTCTGAGCTGAATCCCTGGACTTCCATTTATTTATTGTGATAAAAAGCACATAACATGAAACACAACCATTTTAAGTGTTATCAAATGTATCTATGTTGTTGTGAAACAGATCTGTCCTGTTTCCTCCTGCCCGAACTATGCTTCTCTCTTTACAAAAAGAGGGGGGAGGAAGGGGAAAGAAGAAATAAAGGAAGAAGGGAGGAAATGAGAGAGGGAGGGAGAGAGGGAGAGAGGGAGGGAAGGAGGGAGGGAGGGAGAGAAGGAGGAAGGGAGGGAGGGAAGGAGGAAGGGAGGGAGAAAGGGGAAAGAAGAAAGAAAGGAAGAAGGGAGGAAGTGAGGGAAGGAGGGAGGGAGGGGGTTGTATCTGCATGTGCACCAGCATGCAAGTGACCACAGGACCAGAGATGTCAGGTCTTCTGGGACTGTAAACCACCGGAACTCAGTGGTGGGAACAGAACTCAGGTCCTTAGCAAAGAGAAGTAATCACTTTTAACTGCTGAGCCATCTCTCCAGCCCACCGCCTCTCTTTTGATACTGTTTGGCTTACCGGCATCAGAGCCATGCAGAGCCCCGTGGCTTACCACGCCTCACAGTGACACGAGAACAGATGGAGGATGTGCCCAGCTCTTGCCACTCCCCGCCATGACTGACAGCCAGGTTTGTGCTGGACTGTGAAGCATGCATGCCAGAGACAACGGCACTACCTCTCCTGCAGCTCCACCCTGCAGCTCACACCCTTAGCTCTGCGTTTTATCCCTGTGATTGGTAAATTAGATTGTTTTAAAGGCATCTGAAACAATTGGCTTACTTTTACTTATTGTTATTTAACAATTGGCTTATTGTTTTCATATTTTCTTGCCATTTTGTGTTTGTCAGAGTCTGATTTCCACGCCTGAAACTTTATCTTCCGCTTGGTCCATTCTATTGGCCAGGCTTTCTGTTGAGATTTCATTTGTCTTGTTTTGAGACAGGAGTTTAGCTGGCCTCTCACTCTCAGAAATCCACCGGCCTCTGCCTCCAGAGTGTTGGGATCAATAAAGTTGTGTGTCACCGCTCCAGGGTGCTTTGCTTCTGAGTTACTGAATCTTTCATTCCTAAAATTTAATTTTTCAGTATTTCTCTTTATTGATTCCTATTTCAAACCCTGAGTTCGTTTACTTATTTCATTCAGCCTTTTACCTATTTTCTGTTTTAATTCATGTAGGGTCTATTTGTATACTCATTGATTTCATTAAGTATGTGTGTGAGCCACTCAAGGGGGCACTTGGGAGGCAGAGGCAGGTGGATCTCTGAGTTTGAGCCCAGCCTGGCCTGCAGAGTGAACCCCAGGCAACCAGAGTCACAGACAGAGAAACCCTGCCTCAAAAGAAAGAACAAGGGAGGGCAGAGATGACTCAGGGGTTGAGAGCACTGGCTGCTCCTCTAGAGATCCTGGTTCAATTCCCAGAACCCATATAGCAACTCACAACTGTCTGCTACTCACAACTGTCTGCTACTCCAGTTCCAGTGGATGTGACGCCTCACATTGACATGCACACACACGCAGGCAATACACCAATGTGCATAACATAAAACAATTCATTTGAAAAAAGAGAAAACAATGTATTCTTATAATCGTTCTTATGCATTCCTTGTCTGGGATCTAGTTCACCCCCACTGGAAGTTATCAGTGTTGAATTAGTGCTCTTGATTCCAAGGTGGGGGCCTCCTACTTTGGTTTTTATGATTCTTAAACAACTGCAGTGAGACTTCTGGGGTTATTTTGCTGATTGGATTTTAAAATTAGCTATATTCTTTAAAAAACAGCAGCATTGTATCGTGTGTGTGCTTGCAGTGTGTGTGAGTGCAGGCAGCTGTGTACCGCAGTGCACACATGGCGGTCAGAAGACAGCCTTTGAGAGTTGCGTCTCTCTTCCCGTCGTGAGAGCCAGGGGTGGAACTCAGATCATCAGGCTTGCACAGGAAGAGTTTTTAACCGACTAAGCTGTCTCATCGGCCCCGTCACTAACTACATTCTTTCATTCGAAGTATTTGCACTGTTCCAGTGGGGGCTAGGTTGTGGTAGAGTTGAATAATCATTTAGAAGTTAACACTCAGAGCCGGGCGTTGGTGGTGCATGCCTTTAATCCCAGCACTCGGGAGGCAGAGGCAGGCGGATCTCTGTGAGTTCGAGGCCAGCCTGGTCTACAGAGTGAGTTCCAGGACAGCCTCCAAAACAATACAGAGAAACCCTGTCTTGAAAAACCAAAAAAAAAAAAAAAAGAAGTTAACACTCAGTTAATGGACTCAGGTATGATCTCTACGCTGCTCCCAGAGTGGAATAGTAATCTCCCCCGACCTTCTTCTCCAAGGGCAATTTCCTGATCTTAGAAGCAAAAGGATAAAAGTGTCAAGGATAAAATCAACACTTTGTAGATACAAGACTCGGACAGTCTGTGGGACTGGAGTCCTGTACACCTGTTACCTGAGCTGGGGTAGGTCCCACCATCGGAACTAGCAGCGGCTAGGTCAAACAGACTTATTGCTGGCAGCAAGCTCAGTCAGGAGCATAGCACCAGCTGGGGATGTCACATTATTGGCAGAGCGCTTACCTACCGTGCCCAAGGGCCTGGGTTTGATTCCCAGCACCTACAACAATATAGTGGTTAATTTTTTTCCCCTCAGAGATGCAGAAGCAGCACCTAGAGGGAAGCCATGTGAGAATAAAGCCTCGAAGTCCAAAATCTATAAACTGTCATTTAGCTGGAGACTCGTGTTACACTGCACAGCTATGACCCAAGGTCCCTTCCCTATGGTCTAAAAGAATTCTGTTGGTTGGCTTCCCCGTGTGTCAGAGTATTGTCTTGTGACCATTGCTCTGAATTTCCCCCAAATACAGTTCACGGAGCTGCTGGGTTGTCGAGCCATCGATGCCACAAGCATCCTCTCAAAATGACACCTGGCTGCAGCTCTGTTTCACTGAAGAGAGGGTTTCCAGGCCTTTCTGCCTGTCGGTGCCTCTGTCAAGCATCTTCCTGCCCTCTTCTCTGCTCCGCCCCGCTCTGTGCCCTGGAACGTGCTCATCAAGAAAGTACAATGAATTCTGTTTCCAACGGAAGCTCCGGTTCTGGGGTTGGTCTCCCTCTCGCTGTGCGCGGGCAGCTCCCCAGACTGAGCCAACCCTTCCAGAACAGATCCGACTCAATGCTTTCTCTACCTTGCTGTCACTTACCTGCTGTGCTGTGCTGTCAAGACTAGAGAGAGGCGTTGGTCGCCTCTTCAGAGACTCGTTTCATTCCCTGGAGACTCTAGCCGACAGTGCCTGCGTGTCGTGTGCCCTTCCCCTCCCCCCCAGCTCCTTTTCCTTCCTTCCTTCCTTCCTTCCTTCCTTCCTTCCTTCCTTCCTTCCTTCCTTCCTTTCTTTCTTTCTTTCTTTCTTTCTTTCTTTCTTTCTTTCTTTCTTCTTTTTCTGAGATGGGGAGGATGGTCTCACTATGCAGCCCAGATTGACTCTCAACTCACCATGTAGCCCAGGCTAACCTTGAACCAATTGCAATCTACCTGCTCTAGCCTTGGAGTGCTGGGATTTCAAGCATGTATTAGAATACTTGACGAGCTTTGTGTTACTACATACTGATGTTTAATTTTACAATCTTTTAAATAATTTGTTTATTTTCATTTTATGAGCACTGATTGGTGTTTTGTGTACATGTATGTCTGTGTGAGGGTGTCAGATCCCCTGGAACTGGAGTTACAGACAGTTGTGAGCTGCTGTCTTGTGCTGGAAACTGAACCAGGGTCCTCTGGAAGAGCAGCCAGTGTCCAGCCCTTAATATTTTATAATCTTTTTTTTTTTTTTTTTTTTTTTTACGAGACAGGGTTTCTCTGTATTGTTTTGGAGGCTATCGGTCCAGCCCGGCCTCAAACTCAGAGATCCGCCTGCCTTTGCCTCCCGAGTGCTGGGATTAAAGGTGGGATTAAAGGTGCGCCACCACCGCCTGGCTATATTTTATAATCTTAAATAAATGGAGCCAGGCGTTGGTGGCGCATGCCTTTAATCCCAGCACTTGGGAGGCAGAGGCAGGCAGATCTCTGTGAGTTCGAGACCAGCCTGGTCTACAAGAGCTAGTTCCAGGGCAGCCTCCAAAGCCACAGAGAAACCCTGCCTTGAAAAACCAAAAATAAATAAATAAATAAATAAATAAATAAATAAAATGGAATCACACAGTTTGTGGTAGGTTTTTGCTTAAATTTTTTTCTCTGTGTGTCTCAAAATAGAAAAAAAATCTTAACTCTTGAGATCCTTCAATGCTGTTGCATTAATCATGAATTAATTTCTTTTCATGGTGGATAACTTGCATTGAGTATTTTTCTGTCATTTATTGATGGTCACTGAACTATTTCCAGTTCTCTTGTTTATTCACTATGAAAATCAAGCTGTTACACGTCATTTGGTGTCTTTGAGTGGTA